ACTGCTACAGGTGACCAACTTGCTTTTGATATGCAAATATTTGATAAATTTAGAATAGCAACCACAAGAGTAGAGGGAACTTCCTTCACCAGGTGAAAGGTCCTGATTTCTAGTTACTCAGGTCTAGAGCCACTTCAGGATTTTGCCTCTAAAAATACATATTAATGGTGTAAGACACAAAGAACTTCCTTGCGGTGGCCTGGTCCAGCCTTTGTGATGAGGTGGGACCTCTGCCATGAAGTTGGGGTTTGCAGTCCTGCTTCCTGCATGCTATAGAGTGAATTTCACTGAGGCCTGACCAGCCTTTTAATGGTCAGCCCACAGCCTGCAGTGCAGGTGTGCCCCACCTTGTATTCCCATCACCTGCACTTGGACCCCCAACAAGTAGCAGGGCCTCCAGGCTCCAGCAGGAGCCCAAGTGGCATACCTAGTGCCTGAGGTCAGCTGGCTATGATGGTGGCCACATGTGCCTTGGGCCTGGGATTTCCCTGCAGCCTGCCTTTACAGTCAGCCACACCCTTCGCCTTCAGGCATGGAGACAGGAGCCACAGCCTGAGGAGGGAGCCCTAAATGACTAAATACAGAATACAATTTTTCTCTGTATATAAGGCCCTTACCACAAAATTCCTTATAATCCTCAGGTATAAAAACAGTTACATGTGCTCACAATTTAAATTTCAAGAACAAAAAGGTTGAGTTCGTCTCATAATAGATTTCACTTGGCAGTATATATCATTCAAAAAATAATTTAAATGCTAATAAAGATGGAACTACCACAACAGAAAGATAATACAATTAAGTGAAGGCTAAGAAGAATCTTTTGGAAGGATTGTTTTACAGGACAATAAAAGCACACAGTTCAATGTTAACTTGGGGTTGAAGATATGCTTATGTTTTTCTAGGAAATGCTAAATGGCCTATCTGGGTGCCAGAGTGTGCTGTCTGGTTGCAGCATGGACCCAAACCCAGAAAAGGAGTTGATGCCACCCCTGGAGAAGCTGATGCTCTGTCCCATCACAGTGATACTTCAGAGGCTGTCCCACAACTGACAGAAAAGAATGAAGCTAAAACCAACCTTAATTGAGCCAGGATGCCTAGGAGATGGTAACCAAAAACAAAAACCCTAAGGTTTAAATAGGTAATAAGAGTATAGGGATAACCCAGATGAAAGTTTAAGGAAAAAGGGACACAAAAATTGCCAGTATTCTTAAAATACTAAAATACATGTTAACTGTAGATAATATCTTGTTCTTTTCAAATTCTTTTACAAGGGATCTCTGCTAATTGACCTACAAGAATTCTGACTAGTCAATGTATTGTTGTAAATTCTAAAATTGTAAAAGTTATTGTAACTCAACTTGGTTAAAAATATATTTGAGCTCACTCTGATTTTGTAAGATGCTTGCCTATGTATCTGTTTGTCTGTCTGTAAGTGATTGTTGGGAGTCAGCTGAGCTAATGATCATTCACGTGTGCCTAGCTAAAAACACAAATGCCCATACAGGAGTTCCTAATGGTAGGAGTGCTTGAGAAAGACCCTGAGGGCGTGGGTTGCTGGAGGTGAACAGTGTTTTAACCCCAAGAACGCGTGGCCTAAGAAGTAAGATAGTTCAGCAAAGGGGCATGATGCAAGTATATAAATAGCACCCCCAAAAGTCTTAAAGAGTTCTTCTTGTGGACAAGCTGTATGCTTGTTTCTATGTCTGCCCCAATCTATACAGAGTATCTGTCCATATTTGTCCATTTGTCCATTCTGTGAAACATTCTTTTTATTTGAGCTTAACAATTTTTCTTTTACATTTTTGGATCATTTAATCAAGGTTTATTTGGGTTATAGATCTAGAAAGTATGCTTCCACCTAGGTTGCCAGCTGGTCAAAATGATGCTAAAATTGGTTATATAAATGTAATGTATATGGTTTATTATGACTTGAGACTCTCTCATTGTTCATAAATGATGTGCTGAATGTTATGAATTGGTTTTTTCATAAGTTATCAAAAATTATTATTAAGATAATTAAGTAAAATCTCCTTGGGGTAATGGAATTTTATTGGACAAGACTCCAATTAACGAATAAGAAAATAGCTGCCTGGTAACATTTAACTAGTTCTTGTACATCGATTAGAAGCCAAAAGAAATAATACAATAAAGTTTTTGACTTAAAGATGCTCATACAAGTTTTCATATAGCTATGACAAATGATTGTTATTAACCTCATGGCATATTAAATGGATTCATGTTTCCAGATGTACAGGTCTTTTAGAATGTAAAGCTGAGTTTATTTTTGGTGACAAAATTTTGTTGCAGATTCAGACTTCTGTTATTAACAAAAACTTATGAGATGTACATCTCACTAAATGTAATCAAGTTAAGTAAAAGGTTCTTATGTATTAAGAATGATTGACAAAAGGGGTATCATATAAAAATGCAGATTCAAGTGTTACAAAATGTCATCGTGATTGTCATGCTATAATATTAGGTATGGTTTTGAGTTCTGATTTTCTATGTAAAAATGTAACAACATTCTATAATTATGCAAATGTCAGATCATTCATGGTTAAAAGAAAATAACAGTTCCACTTTATATTCTTAGGTGTTTCTATTTAGATGATAGTAATGCTAAGCTTACTGTCTCTATGACACTGTACTACTATAAATCTTTTCTTCTGGATGTTCAATAAATGAGGTTTAGAGGCCAAGACTTAGAGACATATATGGATCAAAATCAATATTTTATCCCTAGCCCTCTGAGGTCAGTTAAGACCCAGGACATAAGAGAACCTATGCTGAGTCATGTTGTACTCAGAAGACTCCCTGGTCTTCTGATAACAAAGGTTGTGAGACCACCGTGAGCAGTGATCATCAGTGTGTTGTATGCCTAAGGAGAGTCACCAGGAGGAAAGAATCTCTCAAGCTTTCATAGAAAGCAACTTGGTCAAGTAATTGCCATAACTTATCCAGACAGCTGACACTCACAGGTTCCAAGGTAGTTCCTGGTTACAAGGTAATTCCTGAGGAAACCTAACTGAACTTAGTAGATAGTAGCAAGAGACTAATTAAATTCAATACAAGTTTCACCTTAACTTGGTCTTCAACATCCTGCAGGAAAATATAACCACAAAATGTATAATACAATACCATAGTAAATGTTAGCTATAAAAGAAGCTCAAATCACTAACACCTTCTGACAATTGCTTGCTACACTGCTAGCTGACTAGTGATATGGATTAATAGACTGTACAGGGCTTAAATTGCAGAATGTAGGAACTTAAAATCTTTAGACTGTACTTAAAATGAAAAAGATTCAAAAATAAAAAGATCTACAGAGTTCCCCAAACACTGGTCCCCCAGCTTCAACTGATCACTCATCCTGTGCTACAAAAAAACAAAAAAAAGAGGGAAATGTTGGGACCCACTGAAGCTGGAAATTGACCAGACATGCAGGGCTGAGGTATGGCCATCCCAAGAACAAAGAGTGCCCAGGGCAAGCCACACGAAGTAGTTGCTTCAGCCCAGAGAATATCTAGCCCCAAGACAATCAGAATAGTGGTTGCTAGGACAACAGGGTGTCATGTGACATTAAGCTGCTAAAATGCATAAATAAATGCCCCTGCAGTGATGGACAGTTCCTTTCCTCCTATCCAGACAGTAAGTGCTCCCTCCACCTGACTCCAGCCTTGTCTCTTCTTTATTTTCTCATCTACTTGTCTACTTCTATTTTCTCATCTCCTTCACCCAAGAAACCTTAAGGACCATGTGGGTCACAGCACTTTAGCTTGGTGATTGTACTAGATGGGAGGATTTTAGAAAGCTTATGAATATGGATACGTGTATAGCTTTCATCTGTTTCTCAAAAGCATTACATACGTGGCAGCAAAGGTTAAAGGTCCATTAATATACATATCCCAGAACAGGTGACATTGTATGTATTTCTTTGATAAAACTAGAGGCTGATTTTGAAACACTGCTTAGAAACTTTAATAAGCCTTTATCCATAAGTAGATTAATAACAGATTTGCAGAAGTGTATGATATCCCATTTTGGCTACTTTTTTCCTAATTATTAAACAAAACAGAATAAAGCACTATGGTAGAAAACATTGCCAGAACAAATTAAAAAATATGAGTTCAGTTCTTACCAACTGATTTATAAATTCAATATATTTCAATTAGAACCCCACCAGTCCTTTTTTCCCCAGTAGAGATTGAGAAGTTAATTCTAAAAAATATAAGGAGAGCAAAAGTCCTTGAGTATTCAAACAAGCTTTGCAAAATAAACATAGAGTTAGAAGACTTACACTCCTTGACTTCATGACTTGCCACTGAGGAAAATATAATTACAATGCAATCATACTGCCTAAAGACAAATAATAGAACAATAGAGCAGAACAGGATTCTTGAAATCAACCTACACAGACACCATCAAAGCCACCAACACAATCTAATGACAAAAGAAAACTGGAACAAATGATATCCAAATAACTGAATAGTTGTGGGAAAAACTGAATCTCTGCAAATCACAAAATCAATTTATTGTGCTAAATATGAAAGTTAAAATATGAAATTATAAAATTTCAAAGATTTAAAAAACCAGATCTTCTCAAAGTTGCCCCAAAATAGTTTCTGATTTCTTTGAAGTAGCCAGACCCAACACACAGAACACATTTCATATCATTCCGGGGGGCTCCAAGAAAAAACAAGCAATTAAGTAAAAATGATATAACTTCTAGGACAAGCTAGATATGAATTCTGTGCGGTAAAGACAAACTTTCTTATCACGTTATAGTTTGATGATCAAGACAAAATGTTCACTTGCATTGATGAACAAATGCAGACTGCACTGAGTTTAAATGATTCCAAAAGAGACTTTCTAACCCCTCACACAGGAGAGTATGCACATGAGAGCATTTCCTGCTTGCTTCCCTCCTCTTGACCCACTTCCAAAAGCAGAAAGTGAAAAAACAGCAACAACATGAAAACATGCAACACGAAGTCCTTTACCGGAGTCCATAGAGAACTGTGCCATCAGGATGCAGTCGGATCATTCGATTTTTCACTGTGACCCCGTGCACAAATGATTTCTTGTCATTCAGAAAGTAGGTGTCTGGTACCCAGAGCTGGTCAGCTACTCTGTTGTCTAAGGTGAGATTTAGTGGGATTCCAGAATAAGAAAGCCTTTTGTCTTTCCAAGATTGCTGGAAATACATGGTGAGTGTATAGTCCTATGAAATAAAGGAAGCCAAAAAAGAATTTTACTGTCTTCATTATCTCAGGTCTTTTGTTAATAACCCAATAGCATGTGATATTATGCATATCTAGAGACCCACCCTCCTAGTGTCCCTGGGCAGTAAATGTACTTGAATATATTGAATTTATTCCTCCAAATATAGGAAAACCAATGGGCAACAATACTTGAGCATATAATTACAAGCATTTTCCCTAATATAAGCAGATGCATGCAATTAAATTTTAAGGCTGGAAGTTAAGATAATGATATCATAGGAAAGGTCATAAAGAGATCCGTGTTTACAAAAATTCACTCCTGGGTCTTATAATTATGGCTTTATTTTGGAGCAAAACATTGGATAAGTAATACTAAAAATAGATGCCTTAAAAAGACAGGTTGTTTTTCAAACATCAAATGTGTTTTGAATTAATGCTGCAATGTTCAACTCAGAAAGGTTATCAGTTGCTGTTATCTAGATCATTTCAGTGAATTACAAGTTGTCTCTAGGTTCTGAAAAGTAGATAAGCATGTGTAGGTGTAGAGGTTTATTTAGTCTAAAGAATGACAGCAGTGACAGAAAGGCTCCACAATTTATTTAATTAATGACTCCACAATTTAAGTCATTCCTACTCTGTTTAAGGAATTGTCTTAAATTCAGAATTAGATCCTTACTTAAGAATGTTCCCACCTTCTGTGAATTTTACACTGAGGATATTCCCCTGCACTTTGTATTCTAGCTAGGTTTTCCCTGGCAGTGAGCAACAGGAAGATATGGTTTCAATAAATGGGTCAAGCTACAGTGAAAAAGTAACTGTGGTTATCTCAGTGCTTTAATTGTCTGTTTTTAAAGACTTCTGTTAATTCAAAGTACAACTACACATGGAGGGAAAATAAATTGGTAGCAGTAAAACTATAAAGTTCTTAAGCTATGGATCCCAAAATAATAAAAACAGGAGCTTCTTTTTATCTATTAAAAGGCACATATGTCTATAGTAACTTTATGAATGCCTTAGCAACTAATAAGAGAATTTTGCATAACTCTTGAAGAACATCTGTGCACTCACATTGAGATATAAATCACTAGGTGAGAATCACTGACTCGGATCATGCCTTAAACCAGGGTAAACTGTACCCCATTTAGATTCCCCAATGAATATTGATGCAAATCTAAAGAATCCTAGATGTAAGACAGTATTCATTCAGGATAATGGATTTTAGTCTTCTTAAATATTTTAAGCCATAACATTTATATTATTTATTGAGAAAATATCTTTCAACAATTGAAAGGCATTACTTCTTGTTCAACACTATCTATATTTTTTCTCCACTATTAATCATACATGATTACTTTTAAAACTCTAAAACTTTGTTCTCACCTTCATACCTATGAAGGTAATATATAAAATAAATACATGAATATATGTCATGAATATTGATGTATACCTATGTATTGAGAAAGACAGAGACAGAGAGAGAGAAGAGAAAGAGAGAGAGACAGTGAGAGAAAAAGAAAGCGAAATAGGAGAGAAAAAACCCCACAGTCTTATGAGTCCTTTTTAATTGCTACCATTCCATTTTCATCCTCATTAAATTCTTAGTATTATTCTACCTTCTGTAGGGGAAAATGAATAGATTCTTAAATCCTAACACTTGATTCAATCACAAGTTGAGTTTATAGTATAGTTATCATAGATAACAATAGGCAACTAACATAATCACTTGTATTACAGGTGCATTTCTGAAATGAAAAAAAAAGTTTACTAGTTTACTGTGTATCGAGTAAGAAAGTTAAAATTGTTGTTTTAAGAACTCAAAATCTGCTTAAAAATAATACGTAATTGAAATTGATCATTGCTATGTAAAGATTAATATTATGCTTCAAAATATTTGGAGAATACATATTGGCTTTTGTGATAGTTGCTTTTTTAAAGAGATGTTTATGAAGGAATTTGTAAGCAGATGGACTCTGTTAGCCATGAAAATAAACAGTTGTCTGTTAACACTTCTAAGACTTGGTGTTGGTTCTTGTTTGTACTTCAGTCATGTAAAATGAAGTTATGAATAGCTAAAATTATATTATTATAAAATTCCAGTAACCCAATGGATGTTCATAAGCATTCATATTCCCATTAGAACTTCTGAGGATTTCTTTACAGTGAGACCACCTACTAAAATCCTTACTCTATAGCTGCCCCAATAATAGTTTTAAAGTGTGTGTATAGGAGGATATTATCATGAAGCACAAAGGAGGACTATCTTGAATATTGTTAAGAGAGTAGGTTTCAAATTGCTCACTGCACAAAAAATAAAAATAAGTATGTGAAACAATATATAGGATAATTAGCTTAATTTAGCTGTTACACAATGTATGTGTTTCAAAACTTCATGTTATATATAAGTATACATTTTATTTGCCAATTAAAATCATGCAACATAATAGTCTAATAAATGCTGCAATTAAATTGTCATTTGTCATAAGTAAGCAATGGGGAGTGAACAAAGCACAAATACCAGATAATGTAACCACACATAGAGTTTTGTAGATGTGTGTGTGTGCACGCATGTGTATTGTGTGTTTGCATGTGCAGAACATTTTCCTCTTCCCTCGTGGGGAAGAAATTTCTCCTGTGGAGAAATTAAGAACTATATGCATATGGCAAAATTTACAACATGTGCAACTTATGTTTTCAATAAATATTGAATAGAAATTATGTCACCATTATAAACTAAAACATTGATTTTATCCCGTTTTTCAATAAAAGACAAACCAGAAAAATATGTTCATATACAGTCCTTCCAGAAGTAAGTGACACAGGACAGACACCCTTTAAACCTGTATTTGTTATGAATTTCTAGAAGTAGTAACTTAATCTAGAACTTGATTCTATGATAAGTGGAAAATAAGATTTATAACCCCAATAAAATTGTCCAGAATAGAACTATAATGATAGTAATAAGAAGTATATTATAGAAAGACCTAAAATAAAGCAGTAACTCCTTTCTCTACTACATATAGTATACACATATGTGAAGATAACCTCTCCTGGGATGTACTTTGTCTAATGATTCTCACAGCCTCTCATATTTATTAACATCTTTCTCCTCATATCAATTTTTTGGCATGGACTAATACTCTAGGAGTGATTTTATGATTTGCATGTCATAGAATCTATTTCCTGTATTTTAAATGTTACTTTTCCTACCTATACTTTAATAAAAATGTTGATAGTGACACCTGAATATAACACAGTCTATGGTTTCTTTTTGGTGCATCTTCGCTTAAATAAAAAAAAAGGATTAAGGTTGTGTATTGTGCCCTACAATACAAAGTATAAGCACTTTAAAGAAGATAGAAACATTTTTGGATGGAAATTTTGGCTCTTTAGCCAAGAGCATTAAAACAATTTTCCTGGGGCTGGGGATTTAGCTCAGCGGCGTAAGCACCTGCCTTGCAAGCAGGCGGTCATGAGTTCGATCCCCGGTACCGATAAAAAAGAAAAAGACAAAAAAAAAAAAAAATTTTTCCTGTAGATATACACTTAGAAGTATTGCAAGTATTTGATCAGTTTTCTCAACTGTGCAAGCTACTCCTTGAGAAGAAATGTGACATATTTAGAAACTAAGGGCCATAGGGGATTCTCTGACAAGGAAGCAAATTAATGGGATTATTGGGTGTTAGATTTGCTAATGAAATTGGTCAGGCCAATTCAGGCATGTAAGAATTTGTTGCATTGAGAAAAGGCAAGTAAGAGAATATCAAATTAGTAGTACTCAAACTCCAGGAAGACATTCTTTTAAAATCTAAATATGAGTAAAAGTTCAAGAATACAATTACATTAAGTAAAAATCATTCATTTGCAATATAAAGGTAAAAATGATTTCAGATCTCTAGTTTTTAATCAGGGAATTTTGCCCTCCTTAGTACAGCAATATCTGAAGACAGTTCTGATTGTTATCACTGAAGCAGTGATAGCATGCTACTAGCATCTGTAGGTAGCGACTGGGGATGTTCCTTAGTGGACCACAGTGTGTAGCACACTCCCCACAGTAAAGACCTCACTAGTTCAGAAGTTCTAGTGGAGAAACTCTGCCTTCTTGTCAAAGATAAGTTTGAGAAATCCTGGTTTCTATGAAATATCCTTTCTTTTAACATCTTTCCTTGTAATAACATTGCAAAATTTCTCATCATGATATATGATAAGAATATGTATATTAACATGTTTACCCTGAGCTTGCAGCATACTCTTGAAAACTACATGAAATATAGGGAGTACTGACAGAAGATGGCAATTGCTATTCTACTATGATTAATTCTTTTCTCTTGTAATAAGGAAAAACAGTTATGTGTTATAGTCAAACATATCATTTTTTTGGAATGAGCTGAAGAAGACTGGGAAAGTGAATCTCTTATTACCTGCCTGTGTTTCAGCATATGTCTCAGATGATATTAGCAAAGAGACAATATATTGCTTCAACAGATAACATATCGCTTAAACATCTAGTAACATTGCATCCGACTAAAAAATCACGTAAGGAATGCCACCTTTATAAAGTGTTCTCAAGAAAGTCTGTTTGTGTGCGTGCGTGCGTGCGTGTGTGTGTGTGTGTGTGTGTGTGTGTGTGTGTGTGCATGTGCTCCAAGTCTTTGGATTGCATTTATAGCATATTTTTGAATATATTTTAATATGCATTATAAAAAGTCCCAAGTACAAATCCTTTTTACCAATAAAACACTCTTGCTATTTTAGTTGATCTTTGAAGTTTTTTTTCTAAAGCTGTTTCCTTTCCCCAAAAGTCTGATTGTAGTATATCTGTGCATCTTTTCCTCACATTCCTATAGACGCTACCATGATGGAAAGTGTCTCACCTTCATCCCCTGCTGATTGAGCATAGCCATATTCTACATATTCTACAGGGATACCATTGCTCTTCTGTAACTTTAGGAATAATGAGTAGATAACTAATTCAAGAGCAATTGATACATGGGTGGCTCTC